GGTTTGGCTAAATAGTATTTTTCTATGTCTTCTGAGGTAGCTGTGTTGCATTGTCCTTGTTCTTCACTATTGTCATAGGAAATCCACTTATCGTTATCGTCCCTGAAATACCAACAAAAAGTATTTGCTTTCACATTCGCGCTGTCAGTCTTCTCTGAGCACAGCCTGCGAAGATGAAGTTGAACTTTGTGATTGGAATTCTTAAGAGTCATTGAATGAAAGTCTGACGTCCATTCATCTCGGGAAAGGATTTTCACGGCGTCTATATGGACTGATTGAAGATCAACCCCTTTCAGCCTAGGTAGAGTAACACCATCTTGAGAGACATCGCAGTAGGACTTTTCCAAACACAAGACAAGCTTAGGAGGCAGGTTGAACCACTTGCTGTTGTCTTTGCTAATCTGCCAGTAGAAATGTTGAAACGAATGAAGTTTCTCACAGCCTTCATCTTGTCTAGGACATGAGCTTTCAACAGAATTGTAGCAGATTTCTGGGATCTCTACGTCTCCGTTAGAATCTGTGGACCATACAGTCTGTATTTGCTTTTTCTTCTTGATTGGAGAAGGCTTCTTCCGTTTACTTCTTCCACAGAAATGATCAGCATCAGAGTCATCATCTCCATTAAGAGAATAAGCATCAGATTCACTAGTCTCGAGAAACGCCCGATTTGGAGAGCTGTGTCTTGTTCTCTGATCTCCACTTCCCTTTTGGGAATTGCTGGTACTCTTCGGAAGACTTTTGGAGAGCACTCTTAGCAAAGTATCATCCCCGAGTCGGTCAAGGAAGAGGTTCCCAAGAACTTTCTTGTTATGTCCTGTTGCTAACTTGTGACCCAAATTACAGACTTTGTACTTGCAAATCCCTTTTAGGAAATTTTGACAGATGTGCAATCCGACACAATCTGTCTTATTCTCGCATCCTTTGCTACTTGAATGTCCAGCGCATAGTTTTAACCTAGGCTTAAGGCAAAACCTATCGCTCTTGATGTGAAAAATATTTGCGTGGTTATTTAATACCGTCTGTACATCATCCGGATTTACATTCCTCTCTCTTATCACCTGCAAGATGCTGCTGTCGAGGAATTCTTCCCGTGCTAAAATCTCCACCAAGTCATATGCACTTAGTGCCTTACCGCATTTATCTGGAGAGAATGTGAAAATTAAACCGTTAATCATGTGTTTTGCATGGTGGAATAATTGGTTAGCGTGTATAATTTATTCATAAATTACCACAATAAACTCTCCTTCTAACTGCTTTTAAAAGGGAATGAAACTGGTATCTCACCCCAATTTCGGTTCGTCTTGTGAGCAGTTTTTGGCTGACCCTCTGCATAGTAGGAGTTGTCTCTGCACATTTGACTAGCATTATTCGGCTGCATGTCCCGAGACTGAAAGATCAAGAAAGGCAAGGGTAAGGGCGTGGACACGCGAGCATTTACATCAACAAAAATTTATTCATGCAAAAGTCTGTAGGCACCCTATGCACACAGCGACAACCCATCAGCCAAAGGTATAAACTCAGTGAATAAACATAGTTAACACAACTAAAGAACACTTGGTCCTCGTTGATTGTGGGTGTGGGTGTGCTCCTGATTACCAAGAAGAGTGTTTATCATAAGGCCTTTTTTGTAGCATCTCGAAACCCTAAGCACTATGACATATGATTGATGTTAAATTATGTTCACAATAAAGCACGATAGCATCGAAGGTTGTCCTGAGATACAATGTTTTTAAAAATGAAATTATATTTTTTAATCCTACATAAAAAATGTCAATAGAAAACCATTTAAGTACTTAATATGTATGTATGAATTTCAACTACAAGCACTGATAAAGCATTATATAAAATGGTTAATACACTTTACATACATTGTTTTTCATATGAAAAGTGGTAGTTGCATGAGATTTTGCATCTTCTGTTGTCATTGTGAGAGAGCTCTGTGTCCGAATCAGACTAGATAATTCCAATGAACACTGGTGTCAACTTGCTTTATTGAATTATATCAACAACCAATATATACAGTCTATTATATGACATCTTTGAGTCTGTAAGGTTGTATCATAGAGGTACAGAATGATATTGAAGATATTCATCCCACCATAGTCAATACCACGTCATAAAATATGGACACGTTGAAAATTCTTACCTTGTCGTTTCAGCGACCGTCATGACTGACCAAAATTTACCTATATCGAGCGAACATTTATTTCATGTGTTGCTGTGAATAGAACAGAAGAACGGATTGTGCAGATAACAGGTCCTGTACCAGTCTCATGGTGCAACCGTTGGTTGGACAAATAGTCCCGCCAACTGTACCCCATGATCCGGCGCAAGGACCTATTACAAAAGGCATCAAGACGAGACACCAAGGCACAAGATGATGTCCATGTTTCACTACCGTATAGAAAAACTGGCATTATCAGGGCCTTTGAACACGCGTAGCTTGGTCCTTCTGCACAGGTACTGACATCTCCAAATACACTTGTCGAGAGAGTTCATG